GAAATTGAGATTTATACATCATCTGAAAGCTGAATAAATAAGCTTTCCATTGATGTATGGTTTGTTAGGATAGGACAATATTTGGCCGAGATGCAACTATTTGAAAATCTGGAATCTGAGGGAGCTAAAAAATCTAAATATTGAGAAAATCATCTTTAAAGTTGTCCAAATTAAGTTCTTAGCAATGCATATTACTAATCAAAAATTACGTTTTGATATATTTACGATAGGAAATTTACAAAATATCTTCATGGAACATGATCTTTACTTAATATCCTAATGATTTTTGGCATAAAAGAAAAATCGATAATTTTGACCCATACAATGTATTGTTGGCTATTGCTACAAATATAGCGACTTAAGACTGCTTTTGTGCTCCAGGCTCACATATTTTATGTACTTTTTTCTGTTTTTTCAAAGCTGAATTTTCAGCATCATTACTCCAGTCTTCAGCGTCACATGATCCTTCAGAAATCTCAAGATATATTTCTGATTATTACCAATGTTCTTTGATAAATAGAAAGTAAAAAAAAAAAAGGTATCCAATGACCCTAGTCTTGCATGTAGATACACTTTAGTTATGATAATTATGGCTTAAAATGTACTGTAATTTTTCTTTTAAATAAAAAAAAGTAAATGTATCATATATTTTCATAAGTTTATATGTCATTAGGCAACAGTTTTAGAAATTAAAATGTTTTGCAAACTAAAATGATATTTATCAGTAAATAAATAGCTTTAATAATTACATAATAAAATGTATTGTTTTAAAAACTACGGCTTTTTTGTTTTCTTAAATGATGTAGTACAGCTGTTGCATTTTATTTACATAATATCTTTTATTTAATGTGTAACTTTAAAGGGACAGTTCACCCAAAAATTTAAATTGTCATCTTTTACAAACCCTCAAATTGTTCCAAACCTGTATTTGTTTCATTTTTCTGTTGAACACAAAAGATAATATTTTGAAGAATGTTGGTAACCAAACGGTTGCCACGGCTTCCACAGTATGGAACAAAATACTATAGAAGTCAATGGGGACCAGAAACTGTTTGGTTAGCAACATTCTTCAAAATATCCTCTTTTGTGTTCAACTGCTGGAAAAAACTTATTTGAAAACTTTCATTTTTTGGGTGAACTATCCCTTTAACTTAGCTTAACCCCACCACAGTTTGTAAGTAAAGAAACAACACACCATGAAGTCAAACTGACCTGTTTGCAATATTTGGTGATGGCAGCACCCAGTGGATGTTCACTGTTATTTTCAGCAGTGCCGACGATCGCCAGCAGCTTAGAGCGTGGCATCCGGTTCCCCTCCGCCAGCATCTTCACCTGGACCACTTTGGGAGCGCCGTACGTGATGGTGCCGGTTTTATCAAACACCACACACTGAATCTGAAAGCACAGACAGATTTATAAAATGGTTTTCCTCTGCACAACACGACAGCATTAAAATCAGCGGCCCGTCTCTGACCTTGTGTGCCATCTCTAAGGGCTCTCCTCCCTTGATGAGGATCCCATTCTGGGCTCCCACACCGGTCCCCACCATAACCGCAGTCGGGGTGGCCAGACCCAGAGAGCAGGGGCAGGCGATGCAGAGGACCGTGATGGAGGCCTGGAAGGCGAAGCGGATGACCGCCTCTGCCTCAGAGATGCTCTTATCATAACCCTGCAGAGAGACGGTCATCATTTCAATGTGTTCAAAGAAAGAACATAAACCTGGTCTAGCATTAAAGGAATAGTTCAGCCAAAAATGACAATTTGCTGGTAATTTATTCATCCTCAGACCATGCAAGACGTTAGTTTTTTTCCTTCAGTAGAACAGATTTTAAGTTGAAACCGTGGACCTTGGTGATTCATGAGATGCAATTCAGTGGCTGCCCGTTTTTGAGAGTTAAAAAAAAAGCATATCAAGGAGCAGAAAATGAATCCCTGTGGCTCCTGATGATATATTGAGGTCTTATGAAGCGAAACGATCGGTCTGTGCAAGAAATCGACCATTATTTAATCCAGAGCCTCAGACAAACTGGGAAATTGATTATTTTCCATGAACTGGTTCTTTTTCTGGTTTGTTTACATAGTCACACAATGATAATATCATACACAATTATATTATCAAAGCACCCAATAATGTAAAACGTGGATGTTTTACGTGTCTAAAGCAAATAAAGCGAATAAACTAGCCTTCATCCGCTCATCTTTTTACATAATCAGAAACCATAAAAACTTTCATTTCTCCCCTTCATTCAACCTCTCTGTTCACGTAGGCAGTGTTGGGAACTAACTAGTTACATGTAACTAAATTACGTAATTTAATTACAAAATAAATGTAATTGTAATCAGTTACAGTTACTGAGAAAAATTGTGTAATTAAATTAGCTACTTATGAAAATGTTAACTATTACAAACGGGGTTGCATCTCTCTTTTTTTCACACACACACACACACACACACACACAATTGATTTCTTTCATAAATTGCATTGACTGCTCTAAAATATGAGACACCAATGTTTCAGGAGTTTAGGACACATGCTTATTCAATACACAGGATACTAATGTTGTAAATAATGTTTAGTTTCTTGCACAGACCGATCGTTTCGCTTCATAAGACCTCAATATATCATCAGGAGCCACGCGTATTCATTTTGTGTTTCTTGATATGCTGCCACTGACTTGCATTTTATGAATCAACTATCAACTATCCTTTTAAAACCCTCAAGTATGAATAATTTCAAGGGGACATATCATGTAAAACAGGATTTTTCTTGCTCTTCGGAAATAAAAGAGTTCAATGTGCTGTGCAAACACACTCTAATGTTCACAAAGCAAAGCTTGAAACCTAAAGAAACCTTGACTAATCGAAGTCTAGAGAAAAAATAAAATACTTCCAAAACGGCATCCTAGCTCAACCTTAGACGAACATGGATCTACAGAGAAAGCTTCACTCACAGGGAAATACTTCTCCACAAGCGGAAAGTTCACAAATCCAATCAGAATCCAGGCTACGAGAGTCAGGAAGGAAACCCCAACGATGAACGGGACGAAGTAGCCGCTGATCTTATCCGCAAACTGCTGGATGGGAGCCTGAGATTGGGAAGTTTAAAAGGTTTTGTGAAGACCAATGGTTAGAAATACTAACCAGAAATCCAGGGGCTGGGGCCCACTAGGGGCCTCATTGAATTATTTAAAATAACACAAAGCTAATATAATAACAAAAACAACAAATCCTAAAACAACCAAAAATCTAAATATATTTATTGTAATTATGTAAAATAAGACAAAGCTAGGCTAAAAAATAGGCTAAAAGAAGGCCAATTTTAAAAGTGTGATTTCTAGACCTGGAAAAGTAATATAATTTGATAACATTCTTACAACTACCTGAACATTTTTTAATGAATATACACTTTTCTGTTTATGCCTCCTCTAAAATGTTTGATCAGGTAGAAATTGTGAGTAAAACATATTTTTAAAAATAATTTTCCAGAATCTAATAAAATCACATACGATTTTAGAAATTGTTGTGGACAATGGAGGGGGCCTTTAGAGTAAAAAAAACATACAAAATTAATTAATTAATTAAGCAAATAAATAAAATGTTTATTTATTTTTTTTTTTTTACAGAACTGTTTTTTTTTTACCGGATATTGAAGTGTTTTCATTTAAAAAAAATATATATATTTTTTATTTTTTTTTGTTTTTAATTTTTAAAGACTTAAAAAAAAAAAGCAAAATTTTTCATTTTCAAAGACTTTTTGATTACGACAAAACATTAATAAATCTATTTGTTTTATTTCATAGTTTCGATGGCATCCTTTTTTTTCTAGTTTAGAAAGGCATGAGTATTTCAACTGTGAATGCAACCAGAAAATATGATTTATTAACTATGGTTTATGCTATATATTTTTATTATTCAGACTTGAAAATAACATTAATTAAAACTAATTAAAATTGCAATTACAACTGGCAGAACTACTATGTCACTCTTGCAAATAAATAAATGCACATTAATCTGGACTAATCTGGAGATTGAGAAGCTGCTATTTTTCAAAAGACATGCTGTGATAGCAGATGCTGAGCTGACAGACGCACCTTTGAAGTTTGCGCCTCCTCCACCAGTTTGACGATTTGAGAGAGGGTGGTGTCTGTGCCCACGTGAGTGGCTTTGATCAGCAGAGAGCCGTTCTGATTGATGGAGCCCGCGATCACGGTGCTCCCCAGCTTCTTAGTGACGGGCATGGCTTCACCTACAGCACAGGACACACATCAGTCACTGCACAAATGGGCAAATTAAGGGAAGAAACATTACAATGAAAGTCAATTTCTAGATGATTTTGAGGAGAGGTGTGGTCGATCTGACACTGCTATACAGTTGTGTTTTTGTGCTGGTATATTGGCTGGCCTGTGATGGATAAATAAATGACACTAAAATCACCAGTAGGTGGCAGCAAGTCCCTGACTGAATGAGTAATTCACTGAATCTTTCATTCAAATGAGTTGTTCAAAATGGCTGATTCATTTAGAAGCAAAGCAAGCAACTGTCTGTATGAATGGATCATTGAATCATTGATTTAAATGATTTGTTCTAAAACAGGTTGATTCAGGAACGAAACACAGCAGTGTTGCTCTGCTCCGACTTTTATTGGAACTATTTTAATGTACGGTATGTACAAAATAATGTGTTTTTGAACCTTAAACCGTGTAAACACATTGAATTACACCAAATACACAAACTAATGTTCTTTTTAGCATCATCATGACCCCTTTAACTATATAATTCTTTTAAAAAAAAAATTTACAGAGCTATTTTTTGCTTTCATAACTTGAGGGTCTTATAATTATAGGGTCATTCTAAATGCATTCTAATGGAATTCATCAAACAGTGAATGCTTTTGGACTATCAAGACGTCTTTTTGTTTGTTTTTTGCAAAGTGAGTTACATATTTAATAATTTCAGCCGACAAATCATTAAAGCAAAAATCACTATATTATTCTAGACGATAAACATCACACATTCCTAACTTGGTTCCCTCAAAAGTCTATGGCAGTGATTCTCAACTTTTTCAACTCCAAGCCTCCAGTAAGTATACCAATTAGGGCTCGGTAAAAAATATCGATATCGATTTTAATCGATTTTCATTTTTACGAAACGATATTGATTCTTAAATCCCAAGAATCAAAACAATTAATGCCGTTTTGGCGCTGTTTAATGTGGAGTGACAGATCGCTGTAGCGCTTCAGAGAACTGATCATCTTCTCCATATTAATACTAGTTCTGTAAACAATTCATGTAACATCACATTTACCTCAGAAAGCATATTCAGTGACCATAAACTCGATATATTTTTTTTACCATTCGTTAATGTTTTATTTATGTTTGAATAAATCCGTCCAAGTTTTTATGACAGCCACTATTTAAATGTGTATATTTAAAAAATATATATATTTTACAGCATTAGTTGAGTTTTTTTTTCCTTGAGAAAATTTGGCATGTACTGTACCTGATATATATATATCCAAAATAATCGATATCGAATCGAATCGCAAGCTTGTGAATGAGAATCGAATCGTGAAATTTGTGTCAAAACCCAGCCCTAATACCAATGGATTGATTCAAGAAAAAAAAACACTTATTGGGGGATTTAAACTCTCGACATCTGGCAACCGCAACCATGAACACTTGTGGACGTTTGTTACCAATGCAAGATACAAGTGTCAAATTATAATGACAGCACAGATAGCACAGAAATAGCACAGATGATTATGCTCAATAAATCGAGAGAAGCAGAAATCATGATCATGATTAACATACGATTCATTGTGCAACCCAAGTATGTGGAACACACAACAATTATCCTGCCTCGTTTGATTGCTCTCATATTAGTAAAGAGAAAAGTGCCCTCTTGAACCTGTAATGAGAGACTCGTCTGCCATCGAGTGTCCTTCAATCACTCTGCCATCCACTGGAAACTTCCCTCCGGGCACAACCTTCACAACATCTCCTCTCTGAACCAGCTCCACATCCACCTGCTCCTCGCTGAGAGAGAGAGAGAGAGATACACAAGGTCATATGTGCAAAGCAGTCAGCTGTGCTTTCTGTTTAATAGGAAATACAATTTATCAGCACAGGAGACGCACAAACCTTAACACAGACATGTCATCATTCAGTGTAACAACGGTGGCCTCTGTCGCCTGTAAAGACATCAGCTTGGACAGAGCCTCCGAGGTCTTACTCTGCGATTCAAGACAAAGCCATATAAACATTAGCGCAGAACAATGCAACAAATTAAGAGATATAATTCTGGATTCTTGCAATTCTTATAATTAATTCTTCAAGAAATGGCTGAAAACACATATCTTCCATCTATACTTGATCCTCTTAACACTAGCACTCTCTATTCTATTTCTATTCTATCTACTCGTTTTCTTTTTATTGATAAAAAATAACGTGATTTATAAAAAATTACGCTTGATCCTTTAACACTTGCACTCTTTACAATACAATACTTTACAATACTTGCTTTCTTTTCTTATCAATCAGGGTGTTCTCTTGCTAGTTTATCTGTTTTATTGTATTGTATTTTCTTTTAGTGTGTATTTGATCGTTTTAAGTTTTTAGATTGTACAGCACTTTGGTCAGCAGCTGCTGTTTTAAACGTGCTTTAGAAATAAAAATGCCTTTCCTTGCCTTTTTATTTAAAAAATAGAGCATGTGACACACTATTCTTTTTCTATTCTATCTACTTGTTTTTCTTTTTATTTAAAAAAAATGATCCACTGACACTAATGTTCTAAATTATTTTTCTATTCTTTCGACTTTTCTTTATTTGTAAAAAAAAGAGGAAAAAACGAGACCCTCTAACACCAACGTTCTCTATTCTTTTTCTATTCTATCTACTTGTTTTCTTGTTATTTATTATAAAAAAAAAAAACCTTGCTACATTGTACTGAATTAGGCTAACTGAGACCTATCACAGCACTTACACATTATTGCTCTTTTGTTGGTTTTGATTGCATCTATTGTCCTCATTTGTAAGTCGCTTTGGATAAAAGTGTTTGCTAAATGCCTAAATGTAAATAATTACGAGCATGCAGATGAATAGCTTGTGTAACTGGAAATGCTTGTTCACCTTTGCTATCTGCTCCAGCCACCTGCCCAGCGAGATGAAGACAAACAGCATGGGTGGAGTATCGAAAAAGGTGATGGGGTTCACTTTCGCTCTCCCCACCATGGCAACCAGGAGAATCACCACTGAGTATGTGAATGCAATCGTTGTTGCCAGAACAATCAGCACATCCATATTGGCCGTCCTGTGCTTGACAGCTTTATAGGCTTGACCGTAGAAATACCGCCCACCGATAAACTATTTAAGACAGACAAAACCAGTATGGTGACTAAATACAAAGAGATCTTTCATAAAGCATATACCAATGTCTTGGCATATTTTCAGTGAGCAAGGAACTTAAAGGGATCATATGATGCTGCTAAAAAGAACATTATTTGGTGTATTTGGTGTAATGCAATGTGTTTACATGGTTTAAGGTTCAAAAAACACATTATTTTCCACATACTGTACATTATTGTTTCTCCTCTCTGCCCCTTCTTTCTGAAACGCGTCGATGTTTACAAAGCTCATCGTTCTGAAAAGCGAGAGACGTGTTTTTGTTTGTTTTTGCAAAGTGAGTGACACACTCCATAATGTCATTAATATCATTAAAACAACAATTATGATATGTTCGCAGACGATAAACATCGAACACCCCTAACCTGGTTCCCTCAACCTTTTTGACTCCAGTGTCCCCCTTTTCTGTAATGTACAGTGTGTGCTCATGGTTGCCAGGTTGGGAAGATTAAGTATACTAATGCGCAGAAAATATATCGATTCAAGAAAAAAAAAAAACCCTTATTGGGGGATTTAAACTCTTGACATCTGGCAACCGCAACCATGAATGCTTGTGGAGGTTTGTTAACCAATGCAAGATCACGCAAGTGGCAAATTAAAATGAAACGTTTTCAGGATGAATAACCAGCGGGCACACAGATGATTATACTCGAGAGAAGCAGAAATCGTGATCATGGTTAACATATGATTCATTGTGCATCCCTAGTATATGGAACACACAACAATTATCCTGCCTCGTTTGATTGCTCTCATATTAGTAAAGAGAAAAGTGCCCTCTTGAACCTGTAATGAGAGACTCGTCTGCCATCGAGTGTCCTTCAATCACTCTGCCATCCACTGGAAACTTCCCTCCGGGCACAACCTTCACAACATCTCCTCTCTGAACCAGCTCCACATCCACCTGCTCCTCGCTGAGAGAGAGAGAGAGAGATACACAAGGTCATATGTGCAAAGCAGTCAGCTGTGCTTTCTGTTTAATAGGAAATACAATTTATCAGCACAGGAGACGCACAAACCTTAACACAGACATGTCATCATTCAGTGTAACAACGGTGGCCTCTGTCGCCTGTAAAGACATCAGCTTGGACAGAGCCTCCGAGGTCTTACTCTGCGATTCAAGACAAAGCCATATAAACATTAGCGCAGAACAATGCAACAAATTAAGAGATATAATTCTGGATTCTTGCAATTCTTATAATTAATTCTTCAAGAAATGGCTGAAAACACATATCTTCCATCTATACTTGATCCTCTTAACACTAGCACTCTCTATTCTATTTCTATTCTATCTACTCGTTTTCTTTTTATTGATAAAAAATAACGTGATTTATAAAAAATTACGCTTGATCCTTTAACACTTGCACTCTTTACAATACAATACTTTACAATACTTGCTTTCTTTTCTTATCAATCAGGGTGTTCTCTTGCTAGTTTATCTGTTTTATTGTATTGTATTTTCTTTTAGTGTGTATTTGATCGTTTTAAGTTTTTAGCACTTTGGTCAGTTTGGTCAGCAGCTGCTGTTTTAAACGTGCTTTAGAAATAAAAATGCCTTTCCTTGCCTTAAAATAGAGCAAATAGAGCATGTGACACACTATTCTTTTTCTATTCTATCTACTTGTTTTTCTTTTTATTTAAAAAAAATGATCCACTGACACTAATGTTCTAAATTATTTTTCTATTCTTTCGACTTTTCTTTATTTGTAAAAAAAAGAGGAAAAAACGAGACCCTCTAACACCAACGTTCTCTATTCTTTTTCTATTCTATCTACTTGTTTTCTTGTTATTTATTATAAAAAAAAAAAACCTTGCTACATTGTACTGAATTAGGCTAACTGAGACCTATCACAGCACTTACACATTATTGCTCTTTTGTTGGTTTTGATTGCATCTATTGTCCTCATTTGTAAGTCGCTTTGGATAAAAGTGTTTGCTAAATGCCTAAATGTAAATAATTACGAGCATGCAGATGAATAGCTTGTGTAACTGGAAATGCTTGTTCACCTTTGCTATCTGCTCCAGCCACCTGCCCAGCGAGATGAAGACAAACAGCATGGGTGGAGTATCGAAAAAGGTGATGGGGTTCACTTTCGCTCTCTCCACCATGGCAACCAGGAGAATCACCACTGAGTATGTGAATGCAATCGTTGTTGCAACAATACTACAGCGATAATAAAAGTTACGCCTTCTTTCTTTGTCCTTTGCAAATCGTCCAACACAGTGACATAGACATGTGGGGGCGTGTTTGAATGAGGCGTTTTAGGAAGGCATGGAAGAGTCTTAACTTTCTTTGGGTTTGAGACTTTAGTCTTTGCAACTTTACGGATCTTATATATGTGACCCTGGACCACAAAACCAGTCATAATGGTCAATATGAAAGCGCAGCGACTTAAGACTGCTTTTGTGCTCCAGGGTCACATATGCACAAACAGCTCGTAACACTCAAAAGACAAAGGAAAACATGAAATCGCATCATACGACCCCTTGAAACATAGAAAGTGCATTAATAATCCACAAACTGGCAGGTAACCGACCTGCACAGGGACACAGAAGAGAAACGAGATCAGGTTCATGATGGAGAGGCCCGGCAGAAGCTGTTTCTCCAGGAACATGGTGGAGTGGTACTTCTCTCTGTCCTCGGCCGTGGCGTTGTGGTGGTGGGACATGTCGATCTGGTGATCCACGATTATCATGTAGATCATCATGCCCATAACAGGCACGCAGAAAAACAAGCTGATGAGAAATGATCTCTTCCATCTGCGAGGAAACAGGATGCCAACATTAGCTCTGATCTACTACCTTGTGAGCTGCCTAACTATTGTTGCATTTTAAGAGACCGTTCACATAGAAAGCGTTTTCCATTCCATTGTTTTTCTATGTAAATGCACTAGACAGACGTGTATCACTGCTGTAAGCCTGTCTCATGTCTTCTGCAGCATCTCGCACATGTAACAGCAATCTAAAAATGCAGCGCTCAAGTTAAAAAAATTTTTTAAATGCATCTTCCCGCCACTTTCCACTGCCTGAATCTTGCATGTTTTCAAAGCAATGTTTGAAAGGCCCCTAAGGCATCATAGATGCAGCAGCAACCTGTTCTGTCAAGATTAAGACAGCGTTGCATGCCTGCTTTGCCTGCTTTGCCATGTGGAAGAAAAACAGACATAGTGGTGTTTACGTTCACGATGGGGAAGAGAGAGTGAGCAATTGGGAGATTGTAGAAAGAGAGATACCCGCGACATTATCAAACAAGAAAATCCAGGTCTGGAGTGATGTCCGGTTCACAAACGAATCATTCTTTTGAACCAGTTCTTTTTGGCGAACAAGTTGAATCAGTTCACCAAATCAGACTGGTTCGCGGATCGAGCAGCACAGTTACTCAACCAAATCTCATTTTCAGACGCCTGACAGTCACTCTGACTCAAAATGAGCCAAACCAGCGGCGTATCTGATGCTATGAAGAATTAACTGATTCAGTTCCTCCTCCAACAGTCACTGAACTGAGGAAACAGTTCGACTCAAACCGAAGACGATGAGCCGCTGTTATGAGCATGTGTGAACACTTGAATGAAGAGACCAAATGAAAGTTATGGTTTCTCATTGTTTATGTAAAAAGACAAGCTGATGAAGACTAGTTAATTCACTTTATATGCTTTAGACACGTAAAACATGAACTTTTTACATCATTATTGGGTGCTTTAATAATATAATTGTGTATATGTTACATCTTTGTGTGATTCTGTAAGCAAACTTAGTCAAACGAAAGAACCGGTTTGCGCAAAAGAATCAGATTTATCCATGGGTAATCATGTTTTGGTCCTTGATATGCTTTTTATTTTTATTCTAAAAAAAAAATAAAAAAAACGTGCAGCCACTGATTGCATTTTATGAATCAACAAGGATCACGGTTTGAGCTAAAAATCTTTTTGACTGTTCCACTGAAGATTAAAAGATTTTTGGCGATGACCCTTCCTAAAACTTCAGACTCTAATATAGTCTACCATGTGCATCACATAAGGATCGCTATATTGCGCGGCACAATGTAAAGCTCTTCAAATGAGTCACTCAGGAGGATTTGTTTTCATTCTGAAGCTTCCTAAGAAGGTTGCAGCAAGCCAGCTCACTAGGTTCCTCTGGAAACAGCATTTGAACTAAGAAGTTATGTTAAAACTCCATGATTATTATGTTAGGTATTTATGTATTGCTCTTATTCGCTCATGCACTTACTGTTGGATCTCACGGCTGTGATCCAAGTGACTCCCAGGACGATCTTTCTTCACCAGAGAGGCTGTAAATCCCAAGTTCTGTCCATCAAAAAAAGGGAAGTTCATGTCAGAACACATGCTACAAAACGGTTATCATGGTTCCCTATAATATTATTTATAGCTTTGTTCCAGAACATATTGAACAGATATACAACTTTATAAGTAACTGATTCAGAATGCCAAGTAAAACAGTGCTCTTGGTGTAAACCCAATCATTGATTATCATACTTTATGCTTAGCAAATTGCTGAACTATTTAAAATTATTGTTAGAAAAGATTTATATTTTGAATAAATGCTGTTCTTTTAATTTTTTTTATTCATCAAAGAATCCTAAAAAGAAGAATCACAGTTTCTATATATATATATATATATACACACACACACACATATACACATATACATATAATAAATATAACGTGCGTGTGTGTGTGAACATGAAAGTGAATTCACCTCTATCCATCTGATCACATCTCTCGGGCCGGTCACTTCTGGGTCATGTCTGATGTGGGCTTTATTAGTTGCCAGGGCAACTGAAGCATAGAGGATGCCCTTCTGCTTCATCAGGTTAGACTCAATTTTGTGAACACAGGAGGCACATGTCATCCCTCTGACCTATTAAAAACAACAAACTCGTGTTGATAATAAATGGGTCAAAAATCAACAATAGGATCTGCGGACATACTAACCACAAGCTCCAGGGTCCCATCAGAGCCGTCATAATTCTCCATCACTGAAGCCGTGAAGCCGAGCTCTCGGATAAACTCCGCTATTCTCTGAGGATCGATGATCGACGGGCTGAATCGAACCTCGGCTTTACTGGCCATCAGTGCAACCAAAACTGAGTGTACACCTGAGGAAAAGAGACACGATGCCACACTAAATACAGCCATCCTTAGATTTTAACACAGCATTTACATATTGTGTATGTAAATAAGCATTCTAACCTATTATTATGAAATTTGTTCTGATCAATTTTAGACACCATCATTATGGTTTAATACAGTGCAATTATATTCAAGCATGATTTTGTTTTGTAAAGACCAATGCTGACTAGAAACTGATTACATGTCATCTGAATTACAAAAATTAAGTACTTGTAATTAAGAGTATATTACATTTTAAAATGCTCATAATAATCGGATTACCATTGCTTTTTAATGGATTACATGATTACATATCATTCACACGATATAAGTAAATTATTCATAATTTATTGATTCTCCCTAATTATTTTTTCTCTTTTAGTTTTCCTTTCTAAAAATCACATTGATGGTCAACAGTCACATTAACATGCAAGGCATACAAATAAATCTTCTATATTTTTTATACTTATATTAAATATAAAATATTATAAAACTAAAAAATATTTTTAGTGTTCAAGTGTTTACATTATTTTTATTTTACATTTTATGATTTAATTATTAGCGTAACCCACTGCATTTTATTTAATTATTACAAACCCACTGCATTTCTTACATTAAGCGCATTTTGGGAAACCCTGGTGTAATGTAATGTTTAATGCATTTTATGCAAAAAAATATATTTTTTTTTTCTATTTGCTTTTTTATATCAATGTGGTGCATTTAATGGTAAGTTTAAAACAAGCTTGATTAAAAAAGTAATCTAAAAGTAGTCAGAATACATTATCTGAAATGAGTAACTTAGATTGCGTTACTAACTACAGTTTTCATCGTGTATACCCTGTCCTCTGTGCATGAGTTTAAATCGAAGTTAAAGTCTTATCTTCTGGCCCGAGCTTTTTAGCAATTCTTAATTATGTTCTATTTTTTTTTTTTCATGTCTTATTGCTTTCTTTCTTTATCTGTATCTTAGTTTTATATTCTGTAAAGCACTGTGGTCAACTCCTGTTGTGTTTATTTGTGCTATATAAATAAATGAAATGAAATGTGTAATCTGTAATCAGTAAGCAATGCGGATACCATGCTCGTTCTTGAGGTTCCTCTCAATGTTGGCCACGCAGGAGGCACAGGTCATTCCACCAATCTGGATAAAACATTTGGAAATCGTGTTTGTTGCAGGCTCAGCATCACTCTCTGCTTCATCCTCTTTCACGGCTGACCAGACCGGAGATAACGACGAGCTCAGGACAGACGGTGTTGGAGGCGATGGGCTTTTGACCACTGAAGGCACCAATGAATTTGTCTCTGTAAACATGACAGGACAAAGTTAAAAGTGACCTGATATGTGACCCTGGACCACAAAACCAATCATAAGGGTACATTTTTCGAAACTGAGATTTATGCATCATCTGAAAGCTGAATAAATAAGACAATATTTTGAAAAATAGGACAATATTTGGCCGAGATACAACTATTTGAAAATCTGGAATCTGAGGGTGCAAAAAAAATCTAAATATTGAGAAAATCGCCTTTAAAGTTGTCCAAATGAAGTTCTTAGCAATGCATATTACTAATCAAAAATTAAGTTTTAATATATTTACAGAATATCTTCATGGAACATGATCTTTACTTAATATCCTAATGATTTTTGGCATAAAAGAAAAAAATAATTTTGACCCATACAATGTATTGTTGGCTATTGCTACAAATATACCCCAGCGACTTAAGACTGCTTTTGTGCTCCAGGGTCACATATTGGTTTCAGTGGAAATGACAATATAGGACATTGTTGCTGTGTTTTCTGAATTTGTTTAATTTGCACCCCCAAAGCAATGACATAACATCAAAAAACAACAAGATATCGTGGCCACAAATTAAGAATTTATTCCTATAACTTATTAAAATGTTCCTTCCATTTAGTTAAATTAATCATACTAAATTACCAAAGACAGACACATTTTTGGAAGTTGCATTCAAAATACACCTGGCTCAAAAAAAATCGGGCATGATGCCTAAGATTCACCCAGTTATTGTCACTCTTATGATTCAGGTTTATTATGTGCAGTGCTAGGTAGTAAATGAGAATATATTATAATATATTACATTTTAAAATACCCTTAATCAGACTACAGTCACTTTTTTATTGATTACATATTATTCACACAAGTCTTTGTTTTTAGAAGGCTTTGAACTCAGATAAACCATATATTGTCATAATCGTGTGTTTATTAGTCACATTGAATCAATAAAAGCAGTTAAATCTTCTGTTTATCCAGCTACCGCTATAGGCATTTTCTGGGTTTCTTCTGCGAGGCGTATTTGGAGTTTCAGCGCGAGAGCGCCCTCTGGCCTTTGGATGGAGATTTACTGCTGATCACAGAACCGTGCTTCACTGAAAGATACGCATGACAATCGCAGCTTCTGTCGAATCGCGATTTCGATTCCATTTCGATTTATCGTGCAGCCCTAGCTGTTATACAGTCTATATAACTGTCAGTAGTAAAGACATATAGAAGGGAAGATATAAGAAGACAGAAGAAGCACTTACCAGGGAGAAAAGCATCAAAGCCCATGTCCTCTACGGCGGCCCTCAGCTCCTCAGGGGTCGTTACTAAAGGGTCATACTCAAAGGTTCCCTGATGATTGGCCAGTGACACTTGGGCCGATCTCACTCCTTTCTTCTGGGAGATCATGCCCTCGATGGACTGAACACAGGAGCCACAGGTCATGCCCTCGATGTGGATCTCCGCGACTGATACCAGTGGCTGGAGGAAGCCTGGCTCTGGGGAAGCTGGGAGGATAGCTTTAAAATCCCCTGGAGGAAGGGCTTCGATGGCTTTCTGTAGCTCCACCGCTGAGGCTTGTTTTGGGTTGTGCTGAATCGTAGCTTGTCTGTTCTCCAAGGACACGACGACCGAACTCACTCCAGGCAGCTTGGATATATTGTCCTGAATATTGACCACGCAAGACTTGCAGTGCATTCCCGTCAGCTGAAACACTGTAGTGATGCTGGAGTCTATACACGGCTCTGAAACCTTCTCCTCCTGTTTGGGAGCGCTGAGCAGGCGCTCGACTTCACTAGCTGAAAGCTTTAACTGACGAGGTTTTGATTTAACAATGGCTTTGAAACCAGCCACCTCGATTTGGTTCACAATCTCATCCACCGTGACGACGCAAGGCAGGTACAGTACAGCGGCCTCCTGGGATTCGAGAGAGACTGAAAAAGCACGGACAAAACCAAATTCAATTATACTCAGGAAATGTTAAGAGTTAATAAGAATATGAACACTCGTCTCAATAAATAAAGTTTGTATGTGTTTTGCTCATGCAACAGTGGTCATATATGACCCTGGAGCACAAAAGCAGTCTTAAGTCGCTGGGGTATATTTGTAGCAATAGCCAAAAATACATTGTATGGGTCAAAATGATCGATTTTTCTTTTATGCCAAAAATCATTAGGATATTAAGTAAAGATCATGTTCCATGAAGATATTTTGTACATTTCCAACCATAAATAAATAAATTTATTTTATGGTATAATTTAAGTAAAGATCATGTTCAATGAAGATATTTTGTACATTTCCAACCATAAATAAATAAATTTATTTTATGGTATAATTGATGAAAATATGGTATAATTTACGTGATTAATGTAATTCCTAACTGAATGTGATGAGACTTGAAGCGTTTTGCATTTCTGACACATTAGGTATACTAATAAAACTGCATGTGTGCATATTTTAAAATACTGTTTGCAAACAGTTAAAAATGATTACTTACCAACTAGAATTAGACCTAGAATTTCCTTTACTATTTTATTTCTTTAAGGTTTATAAAAAAAAAAAAAGGACCCCCATTGTTTAGGACATGGTTATGACCAGTGCTGGGTAGTAACTGATTACATGTAACCTGGATTACGTAATAAGATAAAAAAAATTAAGAACTTGTAATTAAAGTAGATTACAATTTAAAATGCTCATAATCAGATTATAGTTACTTTTTTATGGATTACATGATTATTCAAACAAAGGCAGTAAATTATTCATGTTATATTGGTTCGCCCTAACTCTTCTTTTTTATCTTTTAAATCTTCCTTTAAAAAATGGAATACATTTTCTCTTTGCTCTTTTTATATGAATATGTTATGTTTAATGGTAAGTTTAGAACAAGCTGGATAAAAAAAAATATATAAAAGTAATTAAAGTAGTGAGAATACAATACCTAAAATGAGTAACCTAGATTACATTACTAACTACAATTTTCATCATGTAATCTGTAATCAGTAAGGGACTACAATATGTAAGTAATCTACCCAGCTCTGGTTACGGCCTTGCCTTAGTGCAACTTTAAGCAAGATATAAGAAAGGAAAGGTCATATTGCACACAAAACAATGTTCTTTTTAGCAACATCATATGACCCCTTTAACCTAAATGTATAGATTGTGTAAGATCTCATTTCTTATCTACAGTACAATGGCACAATGTCAATGAGTTTAACCTTGATTTTACCATATAAACTTCACGATGCATGACATGATTCACCAGTAAATGTTAAAGTTCAATGTGACGACACTTGAGATTGTTTTACTGAAGCGAAGGCAAATGTCACACAGGCTTCATACCTTTAATCTTCTCAACGCCTTTTAACTTCCCAATCTTGCCCTCTATGGTTGTAGTGCAGGACAGGCAAACCATTCCTTCAATGCGCATTTTCACCGCTTCCACTCCGCTGGAGGAGCGAGAGCTCGGCCCTTCCTGAGCATCAGGAACCAGGCAGCTCATCACGTCCCCGAGCCGCTCCGCACTGATCAGAGACGGGACAGACGTGACAGCTAGGCCTCGGTGATCAGCGCTCTCCTGCGTCTCCAACACCCCTTTAGTTTGGGCCAGCGCGCTCCGTGCCTGCTGGATAGAGTCTGTGCTACAGCCAGCTGTGCTGAACACTTTGGTTTCTGTTTGGACTGCTGTTGACGTGGCGTTTGTCAGGCTGCACTCAAAGCCCATGTCTTCAATGGCCTCTGCTAGGGATTCTGGACTATGGCGAGTGTGGTCATATGTCACAGTTGCATTACTCAGCTCCAGAGACACCTGTGGAACAAAAAAGAGCTCATAATGTGCTAATCTGTCTTCTAAAATAGTAAACTGCCCAATAAAAGCCCCACGGTTACTCGTAGAGCAGCATTGTTCCAGTAACTAGAAATGCCACACATGCTTGTGATTGCACAACACCTCATGATACAGCAGATAGTTCCGCTTCTGGAAGCTGATTGTCTAATGCAGCATTCCAGCTGTACTCTAACACATGATATTTTTAACCCTGCCTGTGAAAACCCAGCTAAAGTCATTTTTTTGTGATTTACTGTTTTCTACATAAAATCATCCTTCATAAAGATGTAGAACATTCTGTGAAAATATAACCTTTATATTGAATGAGTAAGGCCATGTCAAAGATTGAAATAATAGTGAAATTAATGGTTGAAATCAAACTTTGATGCTTGTTATCTCATAATTAGATTTTGAGACTTTAGCCTGGATTTCACAGACAGGGTCACATTTGTTTAGATAGATCGCTGAACATCATATTAATATAAATAACCTTCTTGAGAACCTTTCCAGCAAGATTACTGACTCCTGGTATAACAGCTGAAGATGCATATCAAAATGCATATTTTGACTTTTGTGATGCAGCCCTCTGACATTAGAGTTTAATTAGACTATGAGTTTTCTTTAGGCTATACATTTAGGACATACATTTTATGATTACTCTGCTGTGATGTTAACCGATAAAACCCGCTGTTAGTTTTTTGCAACATTCAAAACAATTCTCTCATAATTGGGAAAATGTATATTCTTTTATTTTGCTGCCAATTCTCTTTTGGGATCAGTAAGATTTTTTATGGTTTTTAAAGAAATCTTGTACGCTCATCAAGGAGTTTATGTGATTAAAAACACAGAAAAATATTGTGAAATATTATTACAATTCAAAATAACCGTTTTCTATTTTAATATACTTAATATAACTTATTTCTCTGATGCAAAGCTGAATTTTCATGATCCTAATTCAGAAATCATTCTAATATGCTGATTTATTATCAGTGTTGGAAACTTTTGGGATGTTGTTATATTTTGCTGTATTTGGCTGAGCAGTGGTTTGGGTGGCTCGCCAATGTATTAGGTTTCTCGAATTCATAAAATAAGTAAGCTTGACCAGAGTTCTTGTGGGGAGAAGAATTTCTTGAAGGTAGCTGTGTAGCAGGTCTTCAACAGCAATGTTAGCTTGTCGTTCTTCAAAATATCTTAACCCTTGTAAGAGTCCTAACTTCTCCTGTGAGACAGAACTTTATACCGGAAGACAAAAGGGCTAGAAACAATAGATACTGCACTCCTCTTCTGTTATTCTAAACGTATGGACCATTTGTTTCACACCTTTACAGTCAGTTTCTGTTGACTGCATCTGAGGCGCAATCTGACTAAAGGCACACATAATCTTTCAATGCCCTTTAATATTTTTTGGAACCTTTGATAAATTGTTCAAGATTATTTGATGAATAAAAAGTAAAAAAAAAAGAAAAAACAGCATTTATTCAAAACAGAAATCTTTTTTAACAATATACACTAAAAGGGGTTCAAAAGGTTCAAAAGGGGTTTGGGGGCAGTATATATTCTTTTATTTTTTTGTAATTAGTGTTTTTATTCAGCAAGGATATGTTAAATTGATAAAAAGTCATAGTAAAGGCTAGTAAAAACTTATTATTACACAATATTTCTATTTTGTATAAATGCTGTTCTTTGCAACTTTTTATTCCTGAAAAAGGTATCACGGGTTCCAAAAAAATATTAGCCAGCAAAAACTGTTCTCAACATTGATAACAATCAGCATATTAGAATGATTTCTGAAGATCATGTGACACTGAAGACTGGAGCAATGATGCTGAAAATTCAGCTTTGACATCACATAAAAAAACTACTTTAAAGTATATTAAAATAGAAAACTGTTATTTTAAATCCTAATAATATTTCAAAATATTTCAACTGTATTTTTGATAAAATAAATGATGCCTTGGTGAGCATAAGAGACTTCTTTTAAAAAACACCCTTGTGCACTCCTCATTTGGGAGTCACACTCATGGTCTTCGCGGTCAAAAATCTTTTGCATTTTGAGAGAATTTTATGATACTTATTAATATTTATGCAATAATTTTTACCATTGAAAATAGTACTGTTTTTTCAAATTTTTTTAGATTATTTTTCAATTAAGTATTTCAGATTAAAATAGAGACTAGGCCTTTAAAATCAAATTTTTTAAAGGCAAATTAGCACCTCCTGGTGAGAGCAAAAAGAAAAAGAAAAAAACCTGTAATGTCATGGTGTAACCACTAGATTCCTGTATAGGACTCTATAGAGAGGCTTGTGAATTCCATAGTTGTTTTTATACATAATTATTTACTTTTATTAGGTTGTGGATTTAAATGTATATTAAGGCATTCCCAAAGACTACTTTTTGTCAAGGTTTATATTTTTTGTTGTTTTAAATGTTGATTTGAAGTGTAGGTTTTT